TTAGTATATCGCCATCCATGTATTTAAATGCAATTCTGAAGTTAGAAAGCATAGCATAGGCTCCTTGCACAATATTCTTTATGTGGTCCTCAGGTGATAGTTTTCTATCTAGAACCACTCCTAGATCTCTTTCTTTATCAGAATTCTTTAAAGATTTTCACATAATATATAGGTTGTGTGGGGTCTATGTTCTCCTATTCCACATTCCATAACATGACATTTATTAACATTAAATTCCATTTGCCAAGTGGTGCTCCATATACTTATTTTGTCCAGGTCTTTTTGAAGGGCATGACAGTCATCTAAATTTCTTATCCTTCCTATTATCTTAGCATCATCAGCAAACATGTTCATATAATTCTGTATACCAACTGGTAGATCATTTATGTACACAATAAAAATCACTGGTGCAAGAACTGAACCCTGTGGTACTCCACTTGTGACATTTCTCCATTCTGATACATTGCCTCTGATTACTGCCCTCATTTTTCTATCAGTCAGAAAATTTTTCATCCATGATAGAAGCTTACCTGTCACCCCTCCAATATTTTCCAGTTTCCAGAACAACCTCTTATGTGGAACTCTGTCGAAAGCCTTTTTTAGGTCCAGATAGATGCAGTCAACCCAACCATCTCTTTCCTGTAATATCTCTGTGGCTCGATCATAGAAACTGAGTAAATTCGATACACAGGATCTTCCAGATCGAAAACCATACTGTCTGTCTGATATTATATCATTTCTCTCTAGGTGTTCTACCCATTTAGTTTTGATTAGTTTTTCCAATACTTTCACTATTACACTTGTCAATGATACAGGTCTATAATTGAGGGGGTCTTCCCTGCTGCCACTTTTGTAGATTGGAACTATGTTAGCCTGTTTCCACCCGTCTGCTACGATTCCTGTACACAGGGATGCCTGAAAGATCAGGTGAAGTGGAATGCTGAGCTCAGATGCACATTCTCTCAGAACCCATGGTGAAACGCCATCTGGGCCAGCTGCTTTGTTCTTACCGAGCTCCTTGAGCATTTTTTCCACTTCGTCTCTAGACACCTCTATGTGTTCTATGTTGTTCTCTGGAATTCTTATTGTATCTGGTTCCCTAAAGATTTCATTTTGTACAAACACACTTTGGAACTTTTCGTTTAGTGTTTCACACATTTCCTTTTCATCTTCCATGAATCTATTTCCCATTTTCAACCTCTGAATATTATCCTTTACCTGCAATTTGTTGTTTATGAATTTATAGAATAGACCTGGTTCTGTTTTACATTTGTCCGCAATCCCTTTTTCAAAATTTCTTTCTGCCTCTCTCCTCACTGCCGTGTAGTTGTTTCTCGCATCTTTGTATCGCTGGTATGTTTGGGGGTTCGGCCTCTTCCTGTATTGATTCCATTTTTGTGTCTTTCGGTCTCTAGCCCTCTCGCAATTTCTATTGAACCAATCCTGTTTCCTAGTTCTGCATCTCTGTTTTGGTATAAATTTTTTGTGCCTTTATCATATATTTCACAAAACTTGCCATACATCTCATTCACTTCCTTGCCTAGCATCAAGTCTGTCCAATTATACTCACTAAAAAAATTTCTAAGGTCACCATAATGTCCTCTCCTGAAGTCTGGTTTTTCAACTGCTTCAACCTCCTTATTTTCTTCCAGCTTATAACGCATTGCATACTTTATTCCCAAAAAGACATGGTCACTTTTACCCAAGGGAGGAAGGTACTGAATGTCAAATATCTCTTCCTCCTTCCTGGTAAATATCAAATCTAGCATGGAGGGAACGTCCCCTTCCCTCATCCTCGTAGCTTGTTTAACATGTTGATACAAGAATGTTTCCAGGATGAGGTCTACAAATTTACAGGTCCAAAAATCTTCTGTTTTAGCTTCATATGCTTCCCAGTCTATGGATTTCAAGTTGAAGTCACCGACTATCAACAGTCGTGATCTATCGTTATCCGCTCTCGCTATAATCTCTCTCATTATTGTTATAAGACCTTCACGTTTACTATCTAGCTCCTCCTTTGACCATGTGCTGCTTGGCGGTGGACTATATGCATTTATCATCATTAGTTTATCATCCTCATAGCAGATCTCTAGTGCTATTATGTCAACTTCTTGTGGATTGGCAGTCATTATTTCCTTCACCTTTAGGTGTTCTTTTACCAGCACAGCAACGCCACCGCCTTTCCTAATTTTTCTGTCCCGTCTCCAAATTGAGTAGCCCCTTGGGAATATGACCTCATTTAAAATTACATCTTCAAGTTTTGTCTCCGTGAGTGCAACAATGTCTGGTGTCTGCAGCTGTATTACATCACTTAACTCCAGTATCTTCGATCTCACTCCATCTATGTTGGTGTATGCAATCTTCAGGAACTTGTTCCCCCTCTCCTTATTCTTCACTCCCCCTCTCTCTATTGATTTTGTTGGTTTGCCTTTATGTACCACTTTACTGGTTTGCCTACCCCTATGTGTGTGTGTTTTTGTGTGTGTGTGTTTTGTGTGTGTGTTTGTGTGTGTGTGTTTTTGTGTGTGTGTGTTTTTGTGTGTGTGTGTTTTTGTGTGTGTGTGTTTTTGTGTGTGTGTGTTTTGTGTGTGTGTGTTTTTGTGTGTGTGTGTTTTTGTGTGAGTGTGTTTTGTGGGTGTGTGTTTTGTGTGAGTGTGTTTTTGTGGGTGTGTTTTTGTGGGTGTGTTTTTGTGGGTGTGTGTTTTGTGGGTGTGTGTTTTTGTGTGTGTGTGTTTTTGTGTGTGTGTGTTTTTGTGTGTGTGTGTTTTTGTGTGTGTGTGTTTTTGTGTGTGTGTGTTTTTGTGTGTGTGTGTTTTTGTGTGTGTGTTTTTTCTGTGTGTGTTTTTTGTGTGTGTGTTTGTGTGTGTGTGTGTTTTTGTGTGTGTGTGTTATCCCCGTGCAGACTCTAGGGGATGAGTTGTGTGACAGCTGGGCTAGTGTGTTCACCCCCGTGCAGACTCTAGGGGATGAGTTGTGTGACAGCTGGGCTAGTGTGTTCACCCCCGTGTAGACTCTAGGGGATGAGTTGTGTGACAGCTGGGCTAGTGTGTTCATCCCCGTGTAGACTCTAGGGGATGAGTTGTGTGACAGCTGGGCTAGTGTGTTCACCCCATGTAGACTCTAGGGGATGAGTTGTGTGACAGCTGGGCTAGTGTGTTCACCCCCGTGCAGACTCTAGGGGATGAGTTGTGTGACAGCTGGGCTAGTGTGTTCATCCCGTGCAGACTCTAGGGGATGAGTTGTGTGACAGCTGGGCTAGTGTGTTCACCCCCATGTAGACTCTAGGGGATGAGTTGTGTGACAGCTGGGCTAGTGTGTTCACCCCATGCAGACTCTAGGGGATGAGTTATGTGACAGCTGGGATAGTGTGTTCACCCCCGTGCAGACTCTAGGGGATGAGTTGTGTGACAGCTGGGCTAGTGTGTTCATCCCGTGCAGACTCTAGGGGATGAGTTGTGTGACAGCTGGGCTAGTGTGTTCACCCCATGCAGACTCTAGGGGATGAGTTGTGTGACAGCTGGACAAGTGGGATGCTAATTTGCTAATTTTAGCAACGCACTTGTCCAGCTGTAATACAACTCATCCCCCTGCGTTGCTAATTTGCTAATTTTCAGCCACAGTAATGTGAATTATTCTCTGCATGCCTTGTAGACAGGACAACAGGCTGTGAGGATGCAAACTGCCACAATTCAAAGATCCTCATTAGTAAAAATAACGCTTCGTTACCCGACTGCTGAACACTACCAACAGTGTGGTAAAATGCTAAACAATGATCCCTAGAGGCCTGAATTGTCTTCAGAATAATTTAATATTATGGATCTTATAGCTCGGGCACTGTTAGTGAAAAGAATCTAACCCAAATGACATTACTTGACAAAGATATAATACTGCAATACAGTATTATACCTGTACACTTCACCCAACACAATAACGAAATTAAATGCCCGAAATGCTATGTCCGTTAGTGGCTTTGTAAGAGTGGAAAAACACCAATGTTATGTACTCTCACAGCCCAATGTTATGTACTCACAGCCCAATGTTATGTACTCTCACGGCCCAATGTTATATACTCACAGCCCAATGTTATGTACTCACAGCCCAATGTTATATACTCACAGCCCAATGTTATGTTCTCTCACGGCCCAATGTTATGTACTCAGAGCCCAATGTTATGTACTCACAGCCCAATGTTATGTACTCTCACAGCCCAATGTTATGTACTCACAGCCCAATGTTATGTACTCACAGCCCAATGTTTTGTACTCTCACGGCCCAATGTTATGTACTCTCACAGCCCAATGTTATGTACTCTCACGGCCCAATGTTATGTACTCTCACGGCCCAATGTTATGTACTCTCACGGCCCAATGTTATGTACTCTCACGGCCCAATGTTATGTTCTCTCACGGCCTAATGTTATGTACTCACAGCCCAATGTTATGTACTCACAGCCCAATGTTATGTTCTCTCACGGCCCAATGTTATGTACTCTCACGGCCCAATGTTATGTACTCTCATGGCCCAATATTATGTACTCTCATGGCCCAATGTACCTGCTTGTATACAAATAAATAAATAAATAAATAAATTGTCATGGGTTCGTATCCTGACCGGGGAGGATTTACTGGGCGCAAATCCTTAACTGTAGCCTCTGTTTAACTCAATAGTAAAATGTGTATTTGGTTGTAACAACGATTCTTCGCGGCGGGGATCGTATTCCAGGGACCTGCCCAAAATGCTACGTGTACTAGTGGCTCTACAAGAATGTAACAACTCTTCTATATATCTCAAAAAAAAAAATAATAATAATAAATATATGAACGTGATTAAGTTTTGTCCCAGCCTCGATCCTTATCAAGTTGAAACAGTTACGCCTTTATTATGGTACACTTCCTCCATATAGGTTAAGTTATACACCTTTCAACACAGATTGATCATGCATACATTTTTGTTTACAGTGAAAAACTTGCTTCATACTTTACTTGGTTGGCAAAGCTTACCTCGGATCTGTGTCGATAATGAGCGTTTCTTCGTCCGAGTCGTTACTGATGCTATCCACTGGTTTCTCTTCGTAGCTGTCTTGATCTATTAGCGAGGACGTTGGGCTGGATTTCTTCCGATTCACCTACATTAATTGTAGGTCATAAACAGTTTACTAAATCTCATTAAGCATGGTATTATACAGCATATATATCACAAAGGCCAAGTTAGCCAACATAAGAACATCATTTAAGAATCTAAACAAGGAGGCTTTCACGTCTATACACATTTCCTACGTGAGAGCATTACTCTAGAATGTGGGGTAAGCATGGAACCTAAAAAATATAAAGCAAAAAACCCAGCGTTGAACGTAATGAAATGCCATTTTCTGGGTGAGACTTGGAGGCTTCCTGGAGCTAATCCAGGCTGATACGGAGCATTAGCTTTGGGCATCAGTCAATGTACATGGAGTTCTAGGCCTACCGGGGACCACGAGCCAGAACCTGGCCCCCTCAGAGAGGCGTGAAGAGCAATGGCCTATAGAGACACTCATATATGATTTAGAATACCGTATGTCTGCCATTGACCGGGTCGGGCACCCATAAAGATAGGCGCCCCAAAACAGCCCCTCCCCCCACATGTTGGTTAAGAATTGATACAAAATGCTGAATGAGTGGATAGAACTCCCCCAGGAAGAAAAAACGAGCAAAGAGCATGACGTCATCTTGTTACCAACGTGCCGCCGTCTGCGCAACCCCACCCTCTCTGGAAGGGGGGAAGGGGGAGCCCCAGACCACCCTGTTGGCTACCCAAGCCTGCCAGTTCTTAGGCTGGATGTCAAAACACGCGAAACGAAACCACCGACCGGAGGGAGGGAGGGATGTCAGGGAGTTTTCTGGGTCTCACCCAGAAAATGGCATTTCATTACATTTAAAGTTGATTTTTTTAGGGAGAGCCCCTTAGGCTTCCCGGAGCAAATTACCCAAAGAGAAAACAAAAAGGGACTTACCTGGGTGACGGTCGTTCCTCACATCTCAACACGAAGGCGAGACAACTGGCTGCAACCGCCGACCCAATGCAACACAGGCTCAGGGACACTGACCAGGTAGTGAGTGGCCAGGACCCTGTTCAACCTCCAAAAGCCCCACGTCCGAATGTCAGCCCAAGACATGTTACTGAAAATGGTAGCAAGCGCAGCAAACTTACAAACGTCGTGGGCGCGGGAATAAATCGCAGGCTGGCTAGACTGAATAACCCTGTGGACGACCTGGGAGACCCGAACCCTGGAACAGGGAAGAAGGGGAAACCGGGTCAACCCAAAGCGAGTCCCCGGTCACTAAGGCCGTAGCATGCAAATAATGGCATAAAGTCGCAACTGGACATAACACATGATACTCCCCCACCCTTACCAACCAAGCATCAACAACCCACGGGCCCCTCTGCAAAGCAGCAGTCTCATTCTTTGCCAGAAAATAAGGAGACGGCTGCAGCCAAATAAAACGATCACCTAACCCAAAAGAGCAGAAACCCCTGTGCCGGGAAAGAGCATGAAGCTCCATGAAGCTCCCCAACCCAAACCCCAGAGGCCAATGCCAATATTAAAAGAGCTTTCGACAAATAATCTCGAACTGAAGGGGCCACCACAAACAGAGGGGAAGAGAGAAAGGAGAGCACCCGATCCAAAGACTAGGATGGCTCAGGTGGCACATGAGCAGTTCGGAAGTGAAACAACGCCCGAGACAGCTTATGGAATGGCTTACAAAGCGACAGGCAAGTAACATCAATGCCGAACGCCAGCTGCAGCGGCTCCACCAATGCCACACGATACGAAGCGACAGTGTTCGGCACAAGATGACAGTCCTAAAACAACCATGAAAGAAAGGACAAGACAACCCTAACAGAAATAGAAGCAACATGACGAAGGGTCAAAACGAACCTGAAAGACTGCCAGGAAACTTCACACTGTTGCCGAGACAAAACACGCAGGTAGGACACAACCAAAGAAGCCACCTTATCACCATACAAATGGTGATAGACTCGAGTCAGAAACACCAGATGCGAAGACTCAAGGAGAAGATCGAACCAGCCTCGTAACGGACCGGACCAATCTGCTGAAAGAGGTGGAGCCATGGAAAGCTCTCCAGGTTCGGACACCGGGCAAGCAGCGCCTGAAACCAAGGCTGGGCCGGCCACCAAGAAGCCAGGACTACTCTCCCCTGGTAAGTCTCCAAGCGTATTAGGACCTGGAGCAACAGCGGAACCGGAGGAAAGAGGTACAAGTAACCCTACCTCAACCAATCCTGCCTGAAGACGTCTACCCTGACGGCCTCGCAATTTGGGAAGGACGCCACGTACAATAGGAGAAGCCTCAACCACGCCGACACGAAGAGGTCCACCTGTGGGAGCCTGAACATCCGGCAGAGCCAGCTGAACGAGTCACCGTCGACTGTCCATTCCATGGACAGGGGAATGAACCGAGACAGGCCATCTACCAGGACATTGGATACCCCTTCAAACGTGAACAGCCAAATCCCGTAAGAACTCAGCAGACAAGTCACCCGAAGCGACCAACCCCAAAGAGGCAAGGACCACAGATAATCCCCTCAGTTTAGACAATGAACCACCAGGAAGCAATCCGAATAGAGCCAGATCGTCGATCCACGAGCAACCTGAACCCTCCGTTACAACCACGCCACTGCGAACTCCCGCACCGAGCTGTGGGCCCGACGGAAGGACGGACTGGTGAGCTCTGGTCACAAAACCCCAGCCAAGAGACGACGCATTGATGAACACATCGAGCGAGGGCTCAGGGAGTCGCCAGGGCACTGAACCCCCCAAAAAAGGAAAAGGAAGCCAGCAACACAGCAACTGCCGCAAGGCCTCCAGAGGATGGACCCAGCGATCACGAAAGAGGCAGAAGGGATGGCCCCGAAGGAACCAAAACAGCCGACGAAGCCACATCCGACCCGGTGGATCGACCAGCACGGCAAAGTTCAAGCTCCTGCACAAACCCTTTAGCAACAAGCGGGTGACCCAGGAGCCTGCCAGAAACAGGCAAAGGCAGGACCACAGCCAAAGGAGGGACTCTGAAGGGAGAGACAAGGAAGCGGTCCAAGAGTCGACACAAGACCCAGCCAAGACAGAACCCGAGAGGGAACCAGATGGGACTTTTGCCAGCTTACCGGAGGAATAACAAGCTCGACAGAAGACAGCAACTAGTCGAAGCTGCCTGCAGATACTGCACAACCATAGACTCCGCAAACAGCAATGGACAAAAAGGCAAAAACAACCGAAGAGCCAGAACCCAAGAGGATTCCAAGGAAGAAGCAAACACCGCCTGCCAACACGCAAGTCGAGAAGCAAAAAACGCAAAACTGCACACCGCAGGAGCAGCACGAACAGCTTCAACAATGCAGATGATGCACACACTGCCGAGGGCAATGCACCAAACCCAGAGGCGGCCCCAAGCTCCTCCACATCCAACTCAAACCAATCCGAGGACAGCTCGAGGAGGGAGAAGAAATGCAGGGCTAAAGCTAGCAGGCCATGTGTGCGCAAATCCTCTGCGACCAAGGCAGCCGAAAGGGAAGGAACCTGCACATGAAGCTGCATCACACTAACATGCCGTGGAAGGGCAGGAGCAAACAAACATGCATTGAGATGTTCAAATTTGCACCCCCCCCCTCCCCCCCGCCCAAGGAAAACCTACAACGCCGCTGGAGCCTCCCTCCACTCAAGCACACAGGACTGACAGAACATGTGCCAAGCCTCCAATGAGAAGAGTGGGCAGTCTGCTAACCAGGAGGACTCCGGACCTTTATAACAAACCCAGTACGAACACGAAGATCCATACACGAAGGAACGTGGATCCATCACAAAAGCATAATCAGGGTCGCGCAGGAAGGAAGCCGCAAGGGCGTCCCGCACCACATGTGATGGGACGTGGGAAGCCGAAAACCTCCAGGACGGGATTGAGGAACCCACGGGATCACAGAACCAAACCCGGGGAGGGGTAGACTTCAAAGCCAATCCGTACGAGGAGGGAGTGAAAAAGATCCCCCTCTTCTTGTAACACCAAGCCTTGCTCCGTGATTACAAAAACCCAAGCGGGGTTCAACGGGGCCCAAGGTCCCCAATTCAACCCCTCTCTCTGCCCCGGGAACCTCACCCCGAGGACCCGGGGCTGAGCCGTCCTCCAACTCCCCCCCCCCCTCATCCCCACCTCTAAAGAAAATGCAGGAGCAGCCAAAAAGCAGGAATGAAGGGGGGCTCACTGGCCAGACCCAGAAGCTTTGGCTAGAGGACTAGGCTTGAATGCCTCTGCCACCACCCCGGAGGGAACTTCCCCAAGAACGCTCGAGTCTCCACACAACATAAATGCTGCCCCAACTCTGAAACCTTCAGATATTTCAGAGCCGGAAGCAAAGGGGGGAAAGAGGAGGAAACCGGATGAACCACCAAAGTAGAAGAACAAGGAGAGGCGGACAGAACTACTAAAGTCGAAGCGACTCCCACCCTCAAGTCCGGGTCCCTATAACCAAAACGGGGCAGTCTCGGGGCATCCTGGGAAGCAATGAACCGATCCCGTTGCAGCAACCTAAACCGAGCATGCAACGTCTCTGCTGCCTGCACCCATATATCATATTCAGTAGCTTGGGTGAACTGGAGCACGTACAAAGAACAAATGTCACACGACTCCGGGTCAAAAGAATCACCGACCCAACAGGCAGCATGTCGGAGGCACAACCTGTGATTGTCACCCTGAGACAAGGGGACAGAACAACCATCAACCTCGCACGAAGCGAGAGGGGACTCAAGGGTCACATCCATTGGACCACAGAGCCCCAGCGGGCTTTCCCAAGGCACTTAGCCTTGGTATCACGCACAGGGAAGCCCAGGCAGGGTACTGCGAACCTGCGTCCATAACTACTAAGCAAACTTTTAAAAGCTGAACCCCCGGGACGTGTCCACTCACGGGGGCTTAGCAGGGGGTACCACCAAGAGCACAGATGTATATAGAAAGACCCACCAATTAGAAAAGGAAAGACACCCCCAAGTAGAAAAGGCAGCAACCAACCAAAGGCAGACCCCCCCAACCCCACCAGGCAGGAAAAAAAAAAATGCAAGAGGACAACATATCCAGGCGGAACAGAGTAGGCTGCAATAATAGGTGACAACTTGCTGTGCAGTACCCTGTAACCCTACCAGTGACAAAAACTACCACTACCCAGAGGCAAACAAGGGTAACAAACACCCCAGCTGACTGCAAGGGTGGCCAAGTTCCAAGCAGTAAAAGTCACAGTGGAGGTAGGCCCCACAGTGACTTGTGGATGGTGGCCCCAAGGGCAGTACTTACAGGGCACCTAGGGAAGGAAACCTTAGGCGCATGCAGCCCAAGTACCGTAGAATATTACTCCTGGCTCACACACCACCTGTAGAGACAGACCATGCCACAAGGCACAGTAACTGGAATCAAAACAGTAGCCAGAGGCACATGACCTGCCAGTATCATATCAGCCAAGAACTGCCAGTTGGATCGCCGGTGCGAGGGTGTTGTCTGGGGGCAACCCCCCCCCCTTCCCTGGGAGGGAGAAGGGAGGTTGCGCAGACAGCGGCACGGCAACGTGATGACGTCCTACTAGTTTGTAATTTTCGTTGGGGAGTTCTGTTCACTCGTTCGGCTTTCGGTAGCAATATTTTCACCAGAATAGGGGGTTTGTTTTGGGGCGCCTATCTTTCTGGGTGCCAGACCAGGTCGATGGCAGACATAGAATGCTCCCAACCACACGGGGGTTTCTATAGACCATTGCTCCTCATGACTCTCTGAGGGGGCCAGGTTCTGGCTCGTGGTCCCCAGTAGGCAAGAACTCCATGCCCTTTGACTGATGCCAGAAAGCTAATAGCTACATATCAGCCTCGATAGCTCCGGGGAGCCAAAGGGGCTTCCCCCAGAAAAGATATCAAGTTCCACTTACTTTGGCTGTACGGATGTCGCACGGGCCATTCAAGCCTCGCAAGTTGCCACAAATATATTTACAAATACTTTCTATGTATTTTCAATGCTTTATAATGATTTTTTGTATCGTATCTGATGCATATGTGTGTCCTTTACAATATTTATACAGTAGAACGTTCATAATGTTCCATGGAACTGTGATAAATGTGTCGGTAATGTGTCCACAATAAATGTTTATTTTTGCAATATTACTTGTTCAAAATTCACTAATATTACATTATATACAGTTTCACACACTATTTACACAGTAACACACTGTATTACACACTCAGTACTTCGGAAGTGAGTGGTAATCAAAGCAGTCCATGATAAACAGCGCCATTTCACTCTCGATGCATCAGGTACAAACAGATTCTTCGTTCTGTGTGCTTGCAAATAACGCACTCACATACACCCATGGCTTTAATACCTGTAGGTGGTATGTAGCCAAGCTTGTGAAGCGTAAGGTAGTCTTGAAAAGATTATAGAAGATCAAATTGTAAGGTAGTCTTGAAAAGATTGCTTTGTAAGGTATTCAGGAAGAGATTCAGGTATTCTGGAAGAGATTCAGATATTTTGGAAGAGGTGCAGATATTCAGGAAGAAATTCAGCTATTCTTGAACACATCGATGGAAACCACCACCAAGGATGCCGCTAACACTGTTCATCTATGCTACTTTTATCAGATGCATCATAGGCTACCTTGAGGCTACCTTGAGGTGCTTCCGGGGCTCAGTGTCCCCGCGGCCCGGTCGTCGACCAGGCCTCCTGGTTGCTGGACTGATCAACCAGGCTGTTAGACGCGGCTGCTCGCAGCCTGACGTATGAGTCACAGCCTGGTTGATCAGGTATCCTTTGGAGGTGCTTATCCAGTTCTCTCTTGAACACTGTGAGGGGTTTGCCAGTTATGCCCCTTATGTGTAGTCACTGAACCACTAATCATCTTGAGGTTATCTTGAGATGATTTTGGGGCTTTTTAGTGTCCCCGCGGCCCGGTCCTCGACCAGGCCTCCACCCCCAGGAAGCAGCCCGTGACAGCAGACTAACACCCAGGTACCTATTTTACTGCTAGGTAACAGAGGCATAGGGTGAAAGAAACTCTGCCCATTGTTTCTCGCCGGTGCCTAGGATCGAACCCAGGACCACAGGATCACAAATCCAGCGTGCTGTCCGCTTGGCCGACCGGCTCCTATGAACCATCGACCGGCTCCTATCATCACTGAACCCAGAAAATGATTCATCTATGTATCAACTATAAAACTTGGAAATAACACGGATGGGCATGGGTGGCGCTCAGCTACAACTGGATACACTCGCTGTATCATCCTCATAGGTGCTGTATCACTTGCATCTGACTCTTGTGTTAGGTCCTTATTGTGCCTAGCTTCATCAATATCATGACCCTTATGTTCTTCAAACAATAAGGTCTAAATTTCACCGACAGAGAGCAATCTTTCAACACCACGTCAGACAGGTGTTTGGGAGCCAGAGGCGCATGCGCCACCCATGATTGCTCACTCAGTACTAAGCCAGCCAGCAGCCCTAGCACATTCTGGGATTTTTTTTCAAGATGGCTGCCTTTCACTGGAGGTCCCAAAAGTCCATTTCATACTCAACCAACCGTGTGCATCTTTCGAATGGGTACGAAAAATTAAGTGTTTTCTCGGTTGGCGCAGTAATGGGCAAACGAGTTTTCTCGGCTGGTGCAGTACAGTGGTTAAGGACCTGGGGAGTGACATATTTGCATAGCTATTTAGGCCACTAGCTACATGGAGCCACTGATGGCACCCTCCCATACAACATTTATTGAGTACTGTATACATGCACATGCCTACAATGTAACATGAATGCCTATATTACATGCAAAATGGTTTCTGGCACAGCTCAAAGTGTCTTGCAGTTCCACCCCTTTGCTGCTATTCTAACTTGTAGTCATTTAAAAACAATTTGCTTTTTGATGACAATCCACTTGCTAGTGGTACAAGATTACCTCACCTGCAGTAATCAATTAAAAACTATAGATTTGTTCACAGGGCTAAGCTACATAAATTACATCCATATAGATGTATAATCAACATATTTTGACCAAACCACACACTAGAAAGTGATGGGATGACGATGTTTCGGTCCGTCCTGGACCATTCTCAAGTCAATTCACAATAGACTTGAGGATGGTCCAGGACGGACCGAAACGTTGTCGTCCCTTCATTTTCTAGTGTGTGGCTTGGTCAACATATTTCAGCCACGTTATTGTGACTCCTCGTTTGCTAATCAACATATGATAATTGCACTACCAAGCAAAATCTATGTATGACTATAACTACACCAGAAGGGTTAAAAATTGAAATTAAAGAATTTCTTACCTTATATTTATTTCTGAACTCTTGTTGATTTTCAGGCAAGTACACTACGTGCGAGGCACGAGTCGTGGTGTGCCGGGTGTCTTCCTGAGGTAACTGTGATGACTCAAAGTAACCCAGCCCAACAGAGTGAGACTCTTCTACAGTGCTGTTTATGTAACTATTTAGTCCATTATTGTGGGACAGTGGAGACATTTGTTGAGACTGGCTATGCTGCTGATCCTGATGGTGGTGTTCCTGAGGCTGAGTTGCTGGATGTTGGTGTCTTGAGTGTATTGGAGATAGTTCCAGGAGGTATGGTGGTACAGGAGGCTGCGTTGGATACAAGTACTGAGAAACGGGAGATGGCGTTCCATTTGTTTCTACCGTTGACAAGCCGCTAGGAGACGGGGTTGGTGGGGGTCCGTGATGCCCATAGGGAACGGCACCAATGCCCCTTCCAACAGAGATATTTGGTAGGTGTTGGGAATATGGTACGGGAACGGTAGGCGATAATGTTCCGGCCCGATCAAGATGGGTCTCCAGAGGATCCATGAAATCATCCTGAGGTTCACTTTTCAGATTGGAAATATAGGACTCAGCAGGGGAGGACTCGGACTTAATCTCTGGAAGGAACTGATGATGAGCCTCGTGAAGGTTGTGAGATGGTTGCATTGTGGACGGAGAGATGTATGGTGGAAAACTTCCTCCTCCAGTAGAATACCCTCCTTGTGATCGTCCAGGTGATTCAGGTACCTGAAGAAAAAATACAATCATTCTTCACTTACGACAATCCGACAAACGATCAATTTACGACAATTGCAAACAGTCATATAGAGGCACATAAAAAAAAAATAGCATTGAATGTAATGAAACGGCGTTTTCTGGGAGAGCCCCGGAAGTTCCCGAAGCTGACTGACTGACTGACTGTCAGTCTGACCGAAGCTATCCAACTGACACGTGCCATATTAGTTTGGTGTCATCAGTCCTTAGAGTTCTGTATACCTACCGCAGACCAGAACCAGAGCCTGGTCCACTCTGCGAGGCGCAGGGAGCAATGGTCATTATGAGCATTGTAAACATTTAGAATGTCATGTCTGCCATCGACTGGCAAGGGCACCCAGAAATATAGGCGAACTAATACAAACCCCCAACTGGATAAAAATTGCAACCTATGTCTGAACAGAGCCAAAGAACTCCCCCAAAAAACAAATAAGCAAATCGTCATCCAACTAGAACTCATTACTCATTAAACTAATGTCATCCACATTAGAACTCCAGTTTCCCCAAAAGGGGGAAGGGTTAGCTCGTACAAGCGAGCCGGCAGCCCACCACCCCCAGTTCATAGAATGATGAAAAACTGCAGACCGGAGAGAGGGAGCAAGAGAGGGAGGTCAGGGAGCCTCCAGAACTCGCCCAGACAATGGTATTTCATTACATTCAACGCTGGTTTACTGTGGGGAGCCTCGTCAGCTCCCTGAAGCTAACTACCCACAGATAAGTAAAAGAGGGACTTACTCAGGAGGCAGCAACATCGCAACTCTAAAGACAAAGATGAGACTCCAGACCACGACACGTCCCAAGGCCACACAATAGCAGAGAGGGCATGGAACATTCACAAGATATCTGGCGGCCAGGACTCTGTTCGATTTCCAAAACCACCGTGCCCAAATGTCAACCCAAGACATATTCCCAACAACGGAAGCGAGAGAAGCTTATTTCCTTTCATCATGGGAATGAGGGTAGACCGCAGGCTGGTTAGACATGATAACCCTGCAGACAACCTGAGAGACACGAGCCCTGGAACAGGGAACCAGGGAAACCGGATCAACCCAGAGCGCGTCCACTATTACTGAAGCAGTGGCTCGCAGGTAACGATGAAAAGCAGCCACCGGACACAAAACATGATGTACTCCCAGCCGAACCAACCAAGCATCAACTACCCACGGACCCCTCCGGAAGCCAGCCATCTCATTCGTTGCCAGAAAAGAAAGAGAGGTCAGCAAATGAACAAAACAACCCCCTAGGACCAAAGGAACAGAACCCCCTATGCCAGAGAAAACAATGAACCTTCCCAACATGACCCTCCAGAGACCAAAGCCAACAAAAACAAAGCTTTTTGATCCCAAAACAAGGTCCCAAACCTGCACACAGAAATAGCATCACATGAGACCAGAAGGCTTGGCAGAATGTGCAGACTCCCCTTTTGATGAGCAGAGGTGCAACAGGTACTCTGAGAGAGAACTCTATCAACATCAGAGGCCTGAGACTGTTCAACACACTTCCACTACACATAAGGGGCATAACTGGCGACCCCTCACAGCGTTCAAGAGAGAACTCGATAAACACCTCCAAAGGATACCTGATCAACCAGGCTGTGATTCATACGTCAGGCTGCAAGCAGCCGCATCCAACAGCCTGGGTGATCAGATGACTAACCAGGAGGCCTCGTCAGAGACCTGGCCATGAGGACCTTGACCCTCGAAATCAATGCAAGGCAATTGCAAGGTAAGGGATTTTCTTACAGGGCAAGGTAAGGTAATTTTCTAGATAGAAAATTCTCACCTAAGGCCCACATAAAGAACACTGTGTGAGGAGCCTATGATACACTTTCCAATTTAAGAATTGCTTTTAAATACATGATTGGTGAAATACTAAAGAAATTCTTCATGACCTTTATGAGACCAAAGGTGGAATATGCAGCAGTTGCATGGTGCCCATATCTTAAGAAGCACCTCAACAAACTGGAAAAGGTGCAAAGCCATGCAACTAAAGGATTGCTGGAACTGAAAGACAAGAGCTACAAGGAGAGGTTTGAGGCATTAAATATGCCAAAACTAGAAGATACTGTACAAGAAAAAGAGACAATAAGATCACTATGTACGAAATAGTAATGGGAATTGACAAAATTAACAGGGAAGAATTCCCGAGACCTGGAACTTCAAGAACAAGAGGTTATAGATTTAAGCTAACAAAACAAAGTTGCCAAAGAAGTACTGTATAAACAAATTCACAAGGGCCGTGACGAGGATTCGAACCTGCGTCCGGGAGCATCCCAGACACTGCCTTAATCGACTGAGCTACGACAGGGTTCGATTTGTTCATTTGATGCATCACGTTAGTGTGATCTCTGTGTGTGAAGTACTGTATAAGGAAATTCACTTTTGCAGAGTGGTAGATGGTTAGAACAAGGTAAGTGAGGTGGTGGAGGCCAAAACCGTCAGTAGTTTCAAAGTGTTATATGACAAAGAGTGCTGGGAAGATGGGACACCAGCACCGTAGCTCTCATCCTGTAACTACAATTAGATAATTACACTTGGGTAATAATCACCCTCACCAAAGAAACAAAGGAAGAGAAGCAAAATAGACAACAACTGCATTGTTCATAGAGTAAATAGACAACAACTGCATTGTTCATAGAGTAAATAGACAACAACTGCATTGTTCATAGAGTAAATAGACAACTACTGCATTGTTCATAGAGTAAATAGACAACTACTGCATTGTTCATAGAGTAAATAGACAACTACTGCATTGTTCATAGAGTAAATAGACAACTACTGCATTGTTCATAGAGTAAATAGACAACTACTGCCTTGTTCATAGAGTAAATAGACAACAAAATAGACAACAACTGCATTGTTCATAGAGTAAATAGACAACTACTGCATTGTTCATAGAGTAAATAGACAACTACTGCATTGTTCATAGAGTAAATAGACAACTACTGCATTGTTCATAGAGTAAATAGACAACTACTGCATTGTTCATAGAGTAAATAGACAACTACTGCATTGTTCATAGAGTAAATAGACAACAAAATAGACAACTACTGCCTTGTTCATAGAGTAAATAGACAACTACTGCATTGTTCATAGAGTAAATAGACAACTACTGCATTGTTCATAGAGTAAATAGACAACAAAATAGACAACTACTGCCTTGTTCATAGAGTAAATAGACAACAAAATAGACAACAACTGCATTGTTCATAGAGTAAATAGACAACTACTGCATTGTTCATAGAGTAAATAGACAACTACTGCATTGTTCATAGAGTAAATAGACAACAAAATAGACAACTACTGCCTTGTTCATAGAGTAAATAGACAACAAAATAGACAACAACTGCATTGTTCATAGAGTAAAACCATGCAGCAAACTACTCTGCAAACAATCCACCCATTAATTAGGTCATTCAGCCCCCCTACCAATAACTGCCACCTCCCCATGTCAACAATCCTCAGTCTGGAACCTACAAAAAAAAATTGATCAATGCACTTGGTAGGGAGGAAGGTTTCAGGAAGCCACCAAGGAACCCCCCAGAAAGAAATGCTTCCTTTACACCATTTTATGGTCTTCTGTTACTAATTAGCCACCGAAAAAAAAACTCGCCAGGGGAAGAGAGAGCAAAGATCAAACCCCTGAAGGGAAGGAACTAAGACAGGAAACCACACCCAGGATAACACAACAGAGAGGAAGGAACTAAGACGAAACCACACCCAGGATAACACAACAGAGAGGAAGGAACTAAGACAGGAAACCACACCCAGGATAACACAACAGAGAGGAAGGAACTAAGACAGGAAACCACACCCAGGATAACACAACAGAGAGGAAGGAACTAAGACAGGAAACCACACCCAGGATAACACAACAGAGAGGAAGGAACTAAGACAGGAAACCACACCCAGGATAACACAGGCCGTAGAGACAGGTGGGGACAACAGGAAAGTTACAGGACTGGGTATGAGAGAACTGTACATGACAGACAGAAAACAAAGGGTCATAGTCAGAGAGAATATGTGAGGCTGGAGAGGAGTGCAAAGTGGTGTTCTACAGGGTTGTCCAAGGACCAGTCATCCTCATAATTTATGTGTATGACCTCGCAGTATGGTCGTCTGTCAATCTTTTCAGTGTGGTTATCTTGAGGTTATCTTGAGATGATTTCGGGGCTTTAGTGTCCCCGCGGCCCGGTCCTCGACCAGGCCTCCACCCCCAGGAAGCAGCCCTTGACAGCTGACTAACACCCAGGTACCTATTTTACTGCTAGGTAACAGGGACATAGGGTGAAAGAAACTCTGCCCATTGTTTCTCGCCAGCGCCCGGGATCGAACCCGGGACCACAGGATCACAAGTTCAGCGTGCTGTCCACTCGGCCGACCGGCTCCAAACAAATTGGTTCACAAATTTCTGGCGGTGTGGCACATACTGCGGCAGGTTCATCTCTTTGTTGGTCTTGTTCTACAGCTCCAGACACTGCTCCCTGGTTGTTCAATCAGGGGCAGGGGCAGTCCCGGTCTTGTTTCAGCAGAGCAAGACACGTAGTATCGAATATCTGAGAATGCCAACTTTTTGTTTTTATATTTTGTATATGGCCATTGAAATCATCTTGTTGTCAATGTAAAGACCAAGGAATTTAACAGCTATTCTGCTATCAATTTCACAATTATTACTTCATACGTCAATTTGATTAGTCATCTTGTTTCCAAACAATACATGATACGCTTTTTTTGCTTCAGCATTTACTATGTCAGAATAAGTCGGTTACCATTTGAGAAAATTAAGGTTGTGTCATCTGTTAACTAAACTGTTTCAGATGTAACATAGCATTTGGTAGGTCATTGGTGTATATTAGAGAGTTGATCCAGTATATTACCCTGTGGAATGCCAATGTTAAATTTATTTCATTATTTATTTATATATATATACAAGAAGGTACATTGGGGTCATGAGAGTACGTTTGTACGAGAGTACATTGATGTTTTTATATTCTTGTAAAGCCACTAACACACATAGCATTTTGGGCAGGTCCTTAATCTAACAGATAATTTTAAGTAGTTAATTTCTAGCAAAGTTAAAAAATGTTAACAGGTTCATTGTAAGAAAATTTGAAGACAATTAGTCGGTACATTATAGTAAAATGTGAGCATTATCAACAGGTACATTATAGCATAATTTGAGGATTATTTCTAGATATATTGTAGTAAAATATGCGTTCAACATAACAACCATGATATAAGATGATAGCAATGATTACAATGGTGAAGTTGTATGGCTTAGGCACATATTTTGGGTGATTGGGTAGCACTAGATACAATGCGAGTTTAATGCACTAGGTAGGAAACTATAAGGATGAAATTAGGTACTTCTTGGTTTTACTTCTGAATAAGGCATAGGTTGGACAGCTTTTCAATTCGTAAATGGCAGACTGGAAGAAATAGCATCTTTCACAGGCGTACAAGATTGTAAAAATCAACATCATTCCTATGTTGATCTACACCTGCTTGATACCTGCTTGAAGGGGTTCTGGGAGTTTTTCTACTGCCCAAGCCCGGCCCGAGGCCAGGCTTGACTTGTGAGAGTTTGGTCCACCAGGCTGTTGCTTGGAGCGGCCCGCAGGCCCACATATACCTGCTTGATGGGGTTCTGGGAGTTGTTCTACTGCCCAAGCCCGGCCCGAGGCCAGGCTTGACTTGTGAGAGTTTGGTCCACCAGGCTGTTGCTTGGAGCGGCCCACAGGCCCACATATACCTGCTTGATGGGGTTCTAGGAGTTCTTCTGCTGCCCAAGCCCGGCCTGAGGCCAGGCTTGACTTGTGAGAGTTTGGTCTACCAGGCTGTTGCTTGGAGCAGCCCGCTCCAAGCAACAGGCCCACATATACAGGCCCAAGCGCAGGCCCACATATACCTGCTTGATGGGGTTCTGGGAGTTCTTCTACTCCCCAAGCTCGACCTGAGGCTAGGCTTGACTTGTGAGAGTTTGGTCCACCAGGCTGTTGCTTGGAGCACCCGCAGGCCCACATATACCTGCTTGATGGGGTTCTGGGAGTTCTTCTACTCCCTAAGCCCGGCCTGAGGCTAGGCTTGACTTGTGAATTTGGTCCACTAGGTTGTTGCTTGGAGCGGCCCGCAGGCCCACATATACCTGGTTGATGGGGTTCTGGGAGTTGTTCTACTGCCCAAGCCCGGCCTGAGGCTAGGCTTGACTTGTGAGTTTGGTCCACTAGGTTGTTGCTTGGAGCACCCGCAGGCCCACATATACCTGCTTGATGGGGTTCTGGGAGTTCTACTCCCCAAGCCCGGCCTGAGGCTAGGCTTGACTTGTGAGTTTGGTCCACTAGGTTGTTGCTTGGAGCGGCTTGCAGGCCCACATACCCACCACAGCCCGGTTGGTCCAGCACTTTTTTTTTAGAAAACAGTCTAGTTTTCTCTTGAAGATATCCACGGTTGTTCCGGCAATATTTCTGATAGTCACTGGTAGAATGTTGAACAACCGTGGATTTCTGATATCTATACAGTGTTCTCTGATTGTGCCTATGGCACCTCTGCTCTTCACTGGACCTCTGATGTTTATACAGTGTTCTCTGATTGTGCCTATGGCACCTCTGCTCTTCACTGGACCTCTGATGTCTATACAGTGTTCTCTGATTGTGCCTATGGCACCTCTGCTCTTCACTGGTTCTGTTCTGCATTTTCTTCCATATCGTTCAATCCAGTACATTGTTAATTCACTGTGTAGATTAGAGACCTGGCCCTCCAGTATTTTCCATGTGTATATTATTTGGTATCTCTCTCGTCTCTTTTCTAGTGAGTACATTTGGAGAGCTTTGAGACGATCCCAATAATTTAGGTGCTTTATTAGGAAAGGAATATACTATAAGGAAAAAAGGGTAATAGGTTGACTATATAAATCTCTCGTGCTCTGATACATTTGGATAACTGTATCGAAGCATGGAGACCTCATCTTCAGGAGGACACAGCTGCTCTGGGGAAGGTGCAACACCGGCCAACAAAAATCCTCCCAGAACTTAGTCATCTCTTGTATCAGGTTAAGGGCCACAGGACTAACAACACTACAGACCAGGCATGACAGGGCGGATTTCATTGAAACTTTTAAAATACTGAACAAGTTAGAGGATGCTGATCCAGACAATTTCTTCAAAAGGTCAGATGTAACACAAACAAGCAGCAACAGTTTCAAGCTCAACACGCCACAATATTGGACTGAGAACAGGAGAAGCCTTTTCACCCACAGGGTTATTAACCCATGGAACTGCCTACCCGCCAAAGCTGTAACTGCCAAAACTGTTTTGAGTTTTACAATTTACCTAGAAAAGATCATAAAGGCAAATGGAGGGGGGGAACTTTGACAAGCCACCGTTTTCCTGTCCTCGCAAGGCCAATAGGGTTAGTGGCCCTCAGGTAAATCAGGTAATGATGATGATAATGACAATAATAATACCGCAATTATATTTTATTTATAAACAATCTGCATTAAATGTAATGAAATGCTTCTTTCTGGTGGGTCCTTAGTCGTTCCTTGTACCTACAAACCTGAATACCTCCACCCAATTCAACCTATACCAGGCCCTTGCAAGTCACTAAGCTTTCTGGGGACCAGAGACTAAAACTCGGCCCCCCTCTGTAGAAAAGGGGAGCAAAGAGCAGAGGATATCAGATCACTGACAAAGATAGAGCTATCAGAAAGGCAATCACCAAGGCATACAGAACATAGAAAACTAAACGACTCAAAGGAAAGAGGAGTCATGCTGAAAGCAGAACCCCAGATGCCTTGGCGGGACAAGCCGGCTCAACTGCTTCCACGACCGAATTGGAAGGGGCAATCCCTGGAGCTGGCTGAGCTGCATCCCGAGCTAAACCATTTAGCTGGCTGAGCTGCATCCTGAGCTAAACCATTTAGCTGGCTAAGATGCATCCTGAGCTAAACGTCGCCAATGTCGCTCCAGACCTGAGAGTTATGACAGGAAAGTCCCAAGATGCTCCAATTCAACGTGGGCAAGAACCACCACAAGCGAGGGGGGGCCTTTAAGGGAGCAACCTCCGAACATTCCAGGGAAGGTAACCCAGGCAATACAAGGGCAGCACTAGGGCAGCACACAGGGAAGATAACCCTGCACTTGCAGCTCCAAGCACTCCCAAAATTAGGCTCACACTACACCACAGTATGCAAGAAACATTATCACTTCGCTAAACAAGCAGAACACCAGAGTCAGAACAGAAGAGTGGTGACTCAGTACACACGCACTACATCAGCATAGAACTGAGAGCAGAGATGCCACCTGCCAATAAACTACCTTCCTGCTTGCCCCAAATGAGTGCGAGAGGTGCGGCAAATGAGCTCGCGCTAGTTCCGAGATAATTCAAATGTTCGTTTACATAGTTGGGAGAGTTTCTTCCTGGCAGGTTTTGAGGCTTCAGTTTCTATAGAATCCAGAAGTGGTTTGTTTTGACTCACCATCTTTCTGGTTTCCTTCCCAGGTGAGGTGGTCAAAAATAAATGTCACCACTCCCTGAGCCTCTATGAGGAGAGCCAGGTTCTGGCACTGGTCTCCATTAAGACTATAGAATTCTGCGATTGATGCAACCCTAGCAGATGACACCCTGTTGGTAAACAGTAGCTTCAGGGAGCCACAAAGTGCTCTCCCCCATAAAAACACTTGTGTGTAAAGTGGTATAAAACAGGTGCCAGGGTATGATTACATCATTTATAACCTATAATGAACCTAGCTAGATGTTAGTATGCAGTTTACGAACTGCAGGTCTACCTGTAAACAAAAAGACATCAAATAAAAGCGTACCCCTCATCAAAAATACCTCTTTTTGTAAGCATCATGCCTGGCGTGACTCATACGTCCGGCTGTGAGCAGCCCCGTCCAACAGCCTGGTTGATCAGTCCAGCAACCAGGAGGCCTGGTCAACGACCGGGCCGCGGGGACGCTAAGCCCCGGAAGCACCTCAAGGTAACCTCAAGGTAAGGCATGTTTTCCATGAATGCTGACATTCATGGAAAACAAAATATTCTAATATTTATTCTAACAGTATTACATTTGATAACTTTCCATGTGTTATTGGAGTATATTTGAAGAATTCCAGGCATATTTATGCTTTCATTCTATTCACTGGTGAAAATGCTATATGTTTTTCCTGTTCTGCTGGACAATGACAGTCAACTCAATACTAAAAAGAAACACAAGGCAAATCAATTTACACAATTCATACAAAATACACCTCATTGATACTTCTGTGACTATGAAATTAAAAACCAAAAATGAAATAATAAAGAACGATGAGGTCATACTTGTTCATGATGATAATAGTTGTGTGGCAGGTGGGAATGTTGGCTGGGCTGTGGTGGATGGGGGCGTTGCTGCTGCTGATGGTGGTGGTGATGATGCAGAGCTGCGTGGGGGTGATGGGGCTGGCTAGGGTGGTGGTGATGATGATGATGCTGATGATGTAGCTGAGATGTTAACAATAATGGTTGGGCATTTTGGTGACCCGTCAGCTCCCCAATGTGAGCATCTCGGTCTACCTGAGTCGCTACGTGCGCCGTGAAGCAGGAAGAGGACGTGGTGTCGAAGGACGATGATGTGGAGTAGGAAGACGTAGTGAATGGAGATGAGGATGAAGAGAGCCTTGCTGAAGAAGGGGTGGTGGTGGTTGAGGAGGAGATGGTAAATGCATTGGAGAAGGCTTCCGAAAGTGCTTCGTCAGACTCTCCAACAAACTCCATCATGACGTTTACACTGGGGTCACTCTGTAGCATTGATGCTTCAACCATACTGAGGTCATCACTTCCCTAGTGGAGAGAAAACACAAATATTAACAATAATAAAAATATGTTGCATCTTGAGATTAGATCTTATTGAGATATCTTGAGGTTATCTTGAGATATATCTTGAGGTTATCTTGAGATATATCTTGAGGTTATCTTGAGATATATCTTGAGGTTAAATGAATAAATAATAATAAATGAGTAATAATAATTATAATAATAATTATAATAAATAATAATAAATAATAAATAAATAATAAATAAATAATAATAAAATGAATAAATAAAAATGTGTTGCATGACTTTTAAATTCTATATAAGAACATAAATGTTCATTAGATTCATAAATATATTGAAACAACATAACTAGATTCAAATTGTATTCAAATTCAAATTGTCTCAATATAAAACCAGCGTTGAATGTAATGAAACGCCATTTTCTGGGTGAGACCCCGAGGATCCCTAGAGCTATTCAGGCTGAATGGATAAGAATAACTTTATGGCATCAGTCAAAGTGCTAGGAGTTCTTGCCTACCAGGAGGTTATCTTGAGGTTATCTTGAGATGATTTCGGGGCTTTAGTGTCCCCGCGGCCCGGTCCTCGACCAGGCCTCCACCCCCAGGAAGCAGCCCGTGACAGCTGACTAACACCCAGGTACCTATTTACTGCTAGGTAACAGGGGCATTCAGGGTGAAAGAAACTTTTTGCCCATTTGTTTCTGCCTCGTGTGGGAATCGAACCCGCGCCACAGAATTACGAGTCCTGCACGCTATCCACCAGGCTATGAGGCCCCTGCCATCAAACCACGAGCCAGAACCTAGACCCCTCAGAGAGGCACGAGGAGCAATGGCCTATAGAAATCCCCGTGTGGTTGGAAGCATTCTATGTCTGCCATTGACCAGGACAGCCAACCAGAAAGGTAGGTGCTCCAAAACAAACTCCTATTCTGGTGAAACTATTGTTACCGAAAGCCGAACGAGTGGACAGAACTCCCCAAACAAAAATTAGCAAATGAACATGACGTTATCACGTCGCCGCGCCGCCATCAGCGCAACCCCCCTCCCCTCCCCAGGAGTGGGAAGGGGGAGCCCCAGACCCTCTGCGCCAGCAATCCAACTGGCAGTTCTTAGGCTGGATGTCAAAATACGCAAAAAATACCGCCGACCGGAGGGAGGGAGGGATGCCGGGGAGCTTACGGGACTCGCCCAGAAAAATAGCATTTCATTACATTCAACGCTGGTTTTCTGAGAGGAGCCGTGTCGGGTCTCCAGAACTACCTGACCAAAGATAAGGAAAAGAGGGAATGACCCGGGAGGCGGACGCCACACGCCCAACACAAAAACAAGACAACAGGCCAAACCAAAGGACCCTGCAGACGACCCAGGAGACCCGAACCCCGGAACAGGAAGGAAGGGAACCCAGGCAAACCAAAGCCCGCCCATGGCCACAGAGGCCAAGACGCACAGAGAACAGTGAAGAGCCGCAACCGAACACAACACATGATGCACCCCCCAACCTGACCAACCATCCACCCAGCAGACCCAAACATCACCAGAAAAGAAGGACATTGCAGCAAACGCACAAACCAACCACCAGGACCAAACAAGCAGAAAAAACTCGTGCCGCACTAAAACAAAAACGTACGTTCTGGAATAGGAACACAAAGAAAAGGCCAAAGCCAGGACCGGAACCAAGTTCCTCTTGCCCCAATGAAAAAGGAACTGTAGGTGCAGGAGTGGTTGATCGGAAATCTACATCCACCTGCAGACAAAGCAACACAGAAGTACATGGTGGACTATGTACATAGTCCAACCTAGCACCAACAGCAGTATAGCTAAAAAGCACATACCAAGATACACAACAATGTGTAGTAAAGATGTAGGAATACGGAAATAGGTCAGGAAAAGACCCTAAATATGGTCCAAGCACAGGTAGCCAGGGGCAAGAGAGTACAATGAAAATGACAAAAAAAAAGAAGACCCAGAAGCAATTGGTAATGCAATGTACATGATCAACAACATATACAGAGACACTCCAATGTATATATGGGTGCAGCCAGGCACTGAATGACAGACAATGAATGAGGGTCCAGATAGCATTGACCGAGTCAATGAATGAGTGTGCAGATAGCATGGACTTAAGCAAGGAATGAGTGTCCAGATATCGAGAAAAGATTCAGGGGCCGAAAGACTAAACAAAAGGCACCGAAATTCGGGGCTGCCCCCCACAGTGTAACGAAGAAGATAAACGGACATAGTAAGGTCACGGGAAAACGCACGCAAAATGGCCAAGCAACACGTACTACAACAACACCCAACACTCATCCAAAAATCGAGAACCCGCACCTGGCTAACAGTGTCGCTAGACTGTATAATCTCACCTGTAGAGTGTAGACATGACCGCGTCACAACACACCTGAGCTGTGTAATATTCCAGGAGCATCGCTAGCGAAGTAGGTCCAGAGGAGCGAGCACAGGAAGAGAAGAGGAGGTGGAGTGCAGAGGTGGAGGGGGAGCCACTCTGAGCCACCCCACACCCATAAGCAGAGAAAAGAACTAGGTGAATTCCCCATCTATAAAACCCAGAGCACCAAGTATCTAGGGGGGCTAGGACTGGAGAGAAAAGATGAGCAAGAACGGCGTATAACCCACGATGTAGGACACGGAACACTAACACGTGTACCCCACCCAAAAACAAAATGGACACCCACGGCCCAAGCACCTGAAGTCCAAACTGCACCCCCCGTCTTCCGGGGAGGGTGCCAATAAGGAGTATTGAACGAGTTTTAGTAATGTCGAGACAGTAGGGAGAGACGATGTGATTACAAAACAATGATAAATAGAATCGAAAGAAGAAAAGTAGTACGGAAGAGGACCGACGAGTCCGAGAAAGGACTGGAGGGAAGCCTCACCGGAATTCCACCAACATTCCAATAATATTGTAGGTATTGAAGATTTCCGCGAACCTTCGAGAACCCAGAGAACCAAGCACAAAATCACGGAGGCACATATGGGCCCAATGGCACCCGAGACCAAGGGACATGCAAGGGGATCCCGATACGAGTGGAACACGAATGTGACATGATGTAGAAGAATACATGTCCAAGATAAAATGGTTGAGAAGCAGTGAAAAGCAGCCACAGGAAGAACGGAACCGATGGAACTGACGGACCCGAAGGGCCACGGAACCGAACCTGGGGAAGGGCAGACACAAACCAACTCTGAAGCAGAGGGGAAAGGAAAACCTCACACATAGGAACTGCAATCCTCGCTACAAGGCCATAAAGACCCAAGCGGGGCTAATGGGGCCAAGGCCGCCCAGGTCAACAACTTCCCTGCCAGGGGAGCCTCCACAGTAGGATCCGGGGCCGAACCATCCTCACAAAGCCATGGCCTCACAAGAAAAAGCTGGGGCAGCCTTAAAAACACTAAGGAAGGGAGCGTACTGGTCAGACCCATACGTTATGGCTGGAGGAACAGGCTCAAATGCCTCCGTTGCCACCCCGGAAGAGGACACCCCCTAGACCGCCTGAGTCTCAACACCAACTAGACCCTGCTAGCTAGATAACTAGCTGTGCAGTACCCCGTGCCCCTACCAGTGATGAAAACTACCCCCCTACCCACAAGGGCAACAAGACCCCCAGCTGACCCCAAGGGCGGCCAAATACCGAGCAGTAAATGATACAGCGGAAGTAGATCCCAAGGCAACTTGTGGAAGGAAGCCCCAAGCCCCAAGGGCAGTACTTACTGGGCACCTAGGGAAGGGAACCCTAGGTGCATGCAGCCCAAGTACCGTGGAATATTTCTCCTGGCTCACACACCACCTGGAGAGAAAGCCCATGTCACTAGACACAGAACTGAGACAAAAATTCTGAGTCAGAGGCACACGACTTTCCCAGAATCGCATCAGCCAAGAACTGCAAGTTGGGTCTCCGGCACGAGGGTCTGGGACTTCCCCTTCCGCCTCCCAGGGAGGAGGGGGGAGGGTGTGCAGACGCAGCAACATGACGACGTCATGCTCAATTGCTAGTTTTCGTTTGGGGAGTTCTGTCCACTTGGTTGGCTTTCGGTAGCAATAGTTTCACCAGAATAGGGGTTTGTTTTGGGGCACCTACCTTTTCTGGGTGCCTGTCCCAATTGGCAGACATAGAATGCTCCTAACAACAGGGGAGTTTCTATAGGCCATTGCTCCTCATGCCTCTCTGAGGGGGCTAGGTTCTGGCTCGTGGTCCCCAGTAGGCAAGAACTCCAAGCACAATGATTGATGCCAGAAAGTTATACATATCCATTCAGCCTGGATAACTCCAGGGAGCCGACGGGGCTCCCCACAGAAAAAATTATGTTATCGTGTTTGTGGAAGTGCTGGATGCTGTACTTGGTGTTAATATCTGAGGCATTGGTAGGGAGGCCACTGTGTTTGTGTCCTCTCTAGCATTTGACGGAGTTGGTGGTAGAGACTGGACATTTTTAGCCATTCTTCTCCTCCTCCTCTTGCAAAAAGATAGAGTTGTGGCTGCTTTCATCAAGGTGGTCTGTCAGTTTTATTCTCCTGGTACCTCCTATATGAAAAGCAGTTCTTGCACAGTTCTGGGTGAAAAATATCACAACTTTCAGTACATTTACTTGTACTAAGAAGGTTTCTGCACTTTCTGGGATGATCATATTTACATATTCTTTTTGTTCTTCCTGATATCCATGTTTACAGATACCCCGCCGGCGAGAAACAATGGGCAGAGTTTCTTTCACCCTATGCCCCTGTTACCTAGCAGTAAAATAGGTACCTGGGTGTTAGTCAGCTGTCATGGGCTGCTTCCTGGGGGTGGAGGCCTGGTCGAGGACCAGGCCGCGGGGACACTGAAAAGCCCTGAAATCATCTCAAGATAACCTCAAGATAACCCCATTTACAGGTTTTGTGTCCTTGTTTTGTTTGTTTTTCTTTACCTGACCAATATTTACCACCAATATCTGGCTCTGGCGCTAATACCGCCCACAACCCTAGTGCCAATATCGCGTTCGGCTCTGGCG